CCCCCGCCCCCCGCCGCCCGGCCGGCCGCCGCCGCCGCCGAGCTTAGCACAAGAAATTTGAAAAACCAGCTGCAACACGCAGAGAGGCTGCTCTCCCCGCGGAGACGGCGACAGCCGCAGAGCGGACTCTTTCTTTCCTTAAGAAATTTACGCCCTGCCTAATCTAAGGCGCAGGGACGAAGCAAAAACCCTCTGTAAAGCGTCGTTTGCGAGAGGATCACTGCATTCTGCTCTGTGCTGTTCCCTTACTCAAAGAAGCGAATCCCAGCCCACGCCAAGAGCCCCGCGCAGCCCTGGGCGCCTGAACCAAAGGAATGCACTCCAGGGTCTGGGTTGCTTTCCCCGATACCACATGTAAGGAGTAAATAATAATAAAATAATAATAATAAAAAAAAAATAAGCACAAACTGCGTCCCTAACGCCCAGAATTTCCACGCGGTACAGCTGCGCCAAAGCTCACAGAGACGCGACTACAAAATACGACAACGCCAGGGGAAAGCAGGTTCGTAAGTTTAATGTGAATTCAAGTAGAGGCTTAGAAACCGTTTGGAAGTTGATACAGAGTTTTGAAGCACGATTGACACCTTCACCAGCACATTTCAGCACACGTGAATCGAGGTAATGGTTCCCTTGTACAGTGAACAGTGCTCGGCAGGGACAGTGCGCTGCTCGAACGAGGCTGGACGCCTCTCCTGGCATTTACGACTTTACTTGACATATTCTGAAGTTATAAGCACCAGATACAGGAACTGAGCCCCAGAACACACCGCTTTCCGACCCCACCTGCAGTAAACCCGTAATGTCCATTTCCACGTTACCCAGACAAAGTGAAAGTTCTACCTGTAAGTGTTTCTCTGCGGCTTTACGCAGCCACAGCCCTCTAGCTGGGGGCGGGAACAGGGAAGAGATTATCCGTGCTTCCTCACGCAACTCCCAGTTACCGACGAACACCCTGTTACAAGAGCAGCTAATCTTCTGGCAACACCGAAGGGACCAGGCGAACCGCAGGGTTATTGCTGTACAAACACGGTGACAAGTCTGCTCGTTTCGAGCGTGCGAGCGGAAGGAAGCGGCACCGACGCACCGCCAGAGCTGTGCAGCTGAACCGTGGGAGACGAAGGAAGGCCAGCGTTTAAATTTAACTGCTGACAGTGGCATCTACGGAATAAAAGCATGTTATTTGCATATATAATTTTTTCACTTAATTCTGTAACGCAAAAGCTTTCAACTGTGGCCTTCGATTCAGCCAGCATAAAAATCTACCCCCGTGAGCCGTGCTTCACCCAAACGCACCTAAAGATCAGAACGAAATCATCACCTGAGCAAGCAAGCAAGCACTCCTCTCCAGACAAGCGAGCGGTGCCAGGCCCCCACGCCGAGACACACGCGGAAGGTACTAACCTCCGCGGTTTAAAGGAAGCACGTGCCGTCGTCGGGCACAGCCAGCACCCTCCCAGGCTCGTTTTCGGTGGAAAGCTGAACTGTGCACTACATCCGCCCCCCGTGGACCGAGGGCTAATTCAGACTCCGCAGCTAAAGCCAAGGCAAGCGGCTGTTTTGACGCTGAGGGAAGTACAAGAACTAACTCGGTACTAATCCCGCGACTTCTGGGAAGCGGCAGCAGTGAAGGACAGTCCTACGCGGCGACAGACTTTCTGCATTACCGAATGCAAAAGCTGAGGAGAACTAAACCTCCTGCGATCGGGGAAGTACATTCCTCTTATCCTCCCTTCTGGGAAACAAGATATATTATCATATACTATACTTAAATTTATATTTTAAATATATTCTGATATATATTTAGGGTCGGGGTGGTTCTTGCAGGTACATCCAAGGCCTGGACAAGTGCAGTCCGCAGCGGACACCGCCTGCGTCCCGCGAGCGGAGTCACCCCGGCCCGCATCGCGAGCGCCACTGGCGGCGGTCAAACGAGGGAGGCGGAGCGCCGGGTCCGTGACCCGGCGGGGGCGCT